AAATTAAAATCAATTAATACCTCGAAATTAATATTAATTATTAATTAATATTAATTGAAATCTATATTACCTAATAAACCAGATTTATCAAAAGTCTTAATAAATAATTTTTAATGCACAAAATACTATACATTTATGTATTGTCTTAAAAACAACTCATAAGTACTACTATTTTATGCATTCAATTTTAAAATCTCTTAATCTATAATTAAAATAACATATAATACAAGTTACCAATGCATATTATTAACTTTTCATGTTCCCAAGATACTTTTGACACATTTCACTCATGCATTCACTCTCTCATACCTCTATGTCTTATTCTTATCCCCCAAGGTGAGATTCAAACTGATATTCGTCATGAGTTATTAAAAGTTTTCTCATTCAATTACTCTAGAACTTTCGGTCTCGCTCTCGATCTCTTAATTCTTTGCTTTTGGTGTAAATCAAACACATTTGTAGAGTCGTTTAAATATGTTGGATTTTAAATATATTGGATTTTAAACTGTCATATAATTTTTTCATCGATAGACTTTAATTGGAACCATAACTCTCATTTATTCAAATTGTATTAATATGTAAAGGTCAAGTGTAACTTATATCATCGTTAAATCTTCTCTAATAAAAACAGTGAAACTTCAAAATCGTAAAAATTCACGGCTCCCGTCACATTGCACGGATACACAACTAGTTAATTAATAATTAAATTAATTAATAATTAAAATTAATTAAGAAATTAAAAACAATATTAATTAATAACAACTAATATTAATCAGGGGTAGAATAGAAAAAATGGCAAAAAAACTTCTCATAAACTACTTCCAACTAGTTTTTCAATAAACTAGCTTATAAGTCAACTTATGTCTATTAAACATGTCTAAAAAAAAACTTATAAATGAACTTATTTTTATCAAACAATTTCTAAAGAAATGTTTGTATTTGTTAAAATATGTGAGAAACTGTTTTATAAAACTTGTCTACATAAAATGACCAACAGATATACAACATCCACACTGGTATATTTCCATATTTCCTCCAACTATATCATTTTCATATCAATAAAAATCAAAATCTCTATTGTTGATGCTAACTTACCGGACAATTTTCTTCATCGGAATGAACATGGCAAGGACCAAGAATTTTACTCAGTAAGAGCGATCATAAGAACAGAGAGTCTTGTTCGGTAAGTAAGGATGACGACTCTTACCCGGAGTAGCGCTTACCACATAAATTATTGCATATGGTACATTTTGATATACTATAATCTTATCCCATAAAATAAATTATAATATTGATTTATACTATAAACGCTTACCAGATAAGCATTTAGGTAAACAACCCATACATGATATCATTTAATAAGTGAAGTGAAACCATTAAGCTCCTTCAAAAAAAATAAAAAATAAAAACAAGGAAAACAACAACAAAAAGACCACCATGTTTGACCTGCACATTCTTCAATGTATCCAACCCAAACAAAACAAAACAAGAGCAACCTGACTTCATACTTCTTCAATTAATATATTAACATTCTCACAATCATAATCATAATTATAATTACTATTTAAATACTTGTTATTATTTTAATAATTATGTTTATAATTCATGTAAAATATTATTGATATTAGCTTAAAACACAAGGAATTTGCTAAGGAAAAGACAACATTATAACATGCTTGTTTTACTACTCCCCTCCAATCCAACTGCCACAGACTTTGGCTTACAATATCACCAGGCAAACCACAAGAAGATTTTGGTCTAAAAAAACAAGTTTCAAAAGAACCGAAAAACAGAACCAACCAACCAACCATATCTATTCTGACTCCACTTTTCCTCCTTACTTCTTTTCGATGAGCTTCTCGATCAGATCCGCTGCATCCTGAACGGTTGCAATGGTCTGAGCGCTTTCTTCTTCCACGCTGATCCCGAATTCTTCTTCAAGTCCCATCACAATCTCAACCTGTTAACAACCACTTTGTTATTTGGTTTCAGCAACCACCATACCCAATGATTCTAAACTTTCTAGTTATTGTGGTCTTCATGCACAAAAGATATGTTCCATGATGGTATATTTGCAAGCCACAAAGCATTTAGCTCGGTGGTATTTGGGTCGATCATCTAATCGGTAGCACCAATGAGACCATGGATTTGTGGACGCCCACAAACGTAAAAGTACTGAAATTAGTAGACAATAAAGAAAGCAGAATACCGTATCAAGAGAATCAGCTCCAAGTGAAGAAAACTTGGACTCTCCGGTTACAGCAGAGTCTTCTGGTAGTGCCAGCTGCTTCCTAACGATGCTACACACCTTGTCCACTGTCTCGGGTTTCGCCTGCAGGCCAAAACATCAAATACTCACTTGCCATACATACACATGCTCTATATGTTGCATTTACATGATATAGAATAAGCAAGAAATACAATATAAATAAAAAAAGTTATTTTCTCTGCTTTCTTTTTCTTTTACAATGTAAATGAACACCTCACATTAAGATGTGATGATGAATGGCCAAACAAGTTATCCAAGCAAACCAGCCCAATAACCTTTAAAACCATCAATAACCCACTACAAAAGCCTTTTTTTATTGTGGTAACCATGGGTGTCCAGGCCAATACTACACTAATCCCGTGGGGCTCTGAAGTTAAAAGCTAGACAAACTTCTAGTGGCCCTCAAAGGACTTGAACCGGTGACCTCAAAGGAGCAAACCAAGATTTTACCAGTTAAGCTACCTCTCATGGTCCACTATAAAAGACTATAGACTTATAAGACACTTGCATAAGAAAAAAAGTAGACTATTTTGAACAAAGGTAATCCTTTGGGACTACAAAAAGTCGGGCATCATACCGAGAAACAGAACCTCAATGTCTGTGGCAGTTGTGCCTGACATGTATGAGGTCTCAAATCTCAAGTAACTCTCTTCCCAAGTACCCAAAAAATAACTTTCAACAGAACCCACAATAAGAGGAGAAGAAAGCCGTAAACTAACAACCACAAGGGTGGTGCATAATTGGTTTGAACTTGACTCCAAAAGTCAAAAGTACCAGGAGGTCCCAGGTTCAAATCCAAGGAGGAATAAAAATCCCCTTGTGGCCACGGAGGTTCAAATGCGATGACTCCGGGCTATCTACAAAGCAGGTGGTCGCCCTGGGATTAGTCGGTTCGCATAGCGGATTGGATATCCAGGTTAATAAAAAAAAATCGTAAACTAAGGGCATGCATCTTCCTAACCTAATAAAATGCACTCCACATAAAGTGATATGTGTATGAACATCTTAGTCTATTATGCCAAATCAAAAAGGGGGAAATGTAACACATTTTCCCTTGGATGTCGAATTTATCAAATGTTACAAGATGAACGGATTACCGATCAAAATGGGTACAAAAATAGAAAAGTTTGAAACTTTGTCACATCATTTGACAAAAAAGAAACTCTATATTACACTAAATAGAAACTAAACCAAACTTTGTCGAATTTCAGTGCCTTTTGCCCATTTGAAAAACACATTTGCACCTTTTTCACATTTCTATAATTACATGATCAAACATGAAAACCCATCAATTACACACGTATCCTCAATCATCAAAGCATGCAATTGATCAATCTGTTTATTCAATGAGTGTTTATCTATTTTGCCCTCAATTTACAACATCTAAGTTTCAAAAACCAATTGAGATTTTGTACAATGCAATGAATGCTACCATAAGAAAAGGATCACAAGTCCAAACAAACGGATGAAACATATACCGCACAAGAAACCCTGAGGCGTGATGGGGCAGAATGCAATTTAAGAGATGGGAAGGATTTCCCATTGATAGCAAGAGATACCGCATTGAAGTTAGAAGCCCTTGAAAGTGCCTGTATAAACAACCAAATCTTAGCAAAAACAAGCGACAATACGGAATCAAATTAAATTGCATGTCAGAAAGCCAATTTGATCAGAAATCACACAAAAAGAGTCACATAAAAAGCCAAATCTTGTATGTAATAACATAAAAAATTTATCAATGGAATTAGGTAAGATCGTCAAATTTAAATTGCGAACGAATCTTATAAACCCTTTCTTCTATGAGATCAAAAATCATCAAATCTATGGGAGTTGTGGATCGAAATATTACCATAATTTTCGGTATCGAGAATCAACAATAGGGTTTAAGAAAACATAACATGGAAAATCATCGAATAACACTCAACAGAGTTGTTAAAAAAATGTGAAAATTGATAAGAAAACAATAAGAAACCAACATCGTCTCAAAATTTCTTAGCAAAAACATCAAAAACAGGTGTAATCACATTCAGATCGACTAAGAAAACAAAGGAGTCGAAAAGGGTAAGTGTTGTTTTCACCTGATTAGGCTTGTGGCATGAGAGAGATGCCATCAAAGACGAAGATCCTGCAATGGAAGCCATTGATGATGGAGAAATGGAAGATGAAATGAGATCTGAGATGATTTGAAAAGAGAAAACAAGAGGGGGCGAAGAGCAGGAAGAGTGTGAGGAATATTATATAGAGGAAAGGGTTTATAGTTTGTATCGAAAAATTGGGAGTGTTTGGTAAGCAGTTGTGTTTGGAAATGCAATTAGTTCAGCAAAACCCACCCGCAACCATTAACGATGCCATGCCACCCCTATTTTTAGAACCAACTTCAAGAATTTTATGCTCCATGTGTACATAAAATTCAAATTCTTTTTTAAAACTAAAAATTAATGTTAAAATAAAATAAAGATGTATCTCTCTCTCCCCCCTCTCTCTCTCTCTATAAATTTGGGATAATGTCAGGGACTAGTATGTTTTCATGATCGATCAACTTCACAATGTTTTTACTGTAAAAGTTCGTGAAGGTATCCTTTACAACATTTTTATTGTGAAGTTTCAGGTGTAAAAAAGTGGTTCACGAAAAACAGACTGATTTCATGTAAATTCAACCCAATATGTACATATATATATACACACACACACATATACATATACATACATAGAGAAAGTTTACTTTGTAAACCACGTTATTTGTACAAACCTCATTCGACCAATCTTATTTTTTTATTTTTTATTTTTGTAATTATGAGAGGTTGATTAATCATTTTTATTGTGGAGGATGTTAAGCATGGATATTATCATCTTCATTATATTAATTTTAGAGAAATACATGAAACAATTTCATTAAAATTTCATAAGTATTATATGAAAATTTTCATAACCATATATGAAACAACTTTATCAAAAAAAAATATATATATTATATGAAACAATTTCATAAGATTAAACAATTTCATGAAAAAAATTCATAAAATTAAACAATGAAACCTACGGATGAAGGTGGTTTATATGGTTTGTACAAATAAGGATGATTTGCATTTGATCGCTTCTCTCTCTTTTTCTGTATATATAAGGTTGGGCTCAATTAGAAACAAATTTTTAGATTGTAAACTAATGAATATATCTGAATTAATGATTGAATTAAGATTACCAATGACTAAAACATAAGTGGTTAATTAAGAAGTGATTAAGGTAAAAATGGAATTAGTTACAAACTTCAATAATATGTCTAACTTATTTGACTTTTTTTTAATTAAAAAAACTAATATTTTAATCAAACAAATTACATGTAAAAAACAAGCATTCGTTTTATTTGCTTTGACATCCATCTAGATATAGTTTTTTGTTGTAATTGTTTTCTACGTGAAATAGTATATCTGTTTAATATTCATTATGAATAATTATGTATATTCACGTGTATACAACCAGACACTTACCCGGTAAGCGCTTGCCTGTAAATTTAACACTTTCATTTACTTGCCGGTTATGATTTTAGTCCACCAAAACGGTATCGTATGCAACAATTTACCCGGTMAGCGCTTATTGTGGTAAGAGTCGTCGCCCTCACTTACCGAGTAAGACTCTTGGTCTTTGTCTCGCTTTTACCGGGTAAGATTTTTTATCTTTAACATATTCATCCGGTAATGTAAAATGGCTTGGTGTTCACTTACCCGATTAAGCGTTTGGTAAACGGCCCCTAAGTCTTATATATGAACACCAATATCGATGTTCTCCATTGGTCATTGAAATGTAACTACATGCAAAAGGTTCCAACAAACCATTATCCGACGGTGATAAGTAGGTATATACTGGTTCATATGTGAACATGTGAAATCCTAATATAGGTTCACATGTGAATCTTGATCACAACTTGTACATGAATCAATTTAATAAACTTATAACCGAGATTCTGAATCAGTTTAAGATTCATATGTGAACATGTGAATCCTAACATAGATTCACATTTGAATCTTAATTATAAGTTGTACGTGAATCAATTTATAACATCTAATTGAGATCATGAATTAGTTTAAAATTCATATTTGAATCTTAGAAATATATTATATCATAATGGATCTTAAATAAAAGATAATAAAATTCTCTTTGTTTTTGGTATAATTTATTTAAATAAAATATTGATTATATTTTTTACATGATTTAATGTAAAAGAAAATTGGTAATCTAATTTTTATTTTAAAAAAAAAAGTGGGTAACTTGAGAACACATGAAACTATGAAAGTATGATAACTTTAAAAACTGGTGTATCATGTGCTATTTCATATGATTTTTTTTATATGAGACTAAGATTTAGAATATTAATTAACATATATTTGATTCACAATGTGAATCTATTTAGTTTGTTTGTGAAACAAAAGTTGTTGATCCTCTCTCTCAGTGATTTGATGATAATCCCTTTTTCCTTTCGATGTATTTCTGTATCTGTAATTTCAGTTCCAGCGATCATACACTGAGCTTGTTCAGTGATCGCTGAAGAACTTGTTTTGAAATTCATTCAGAGACAACGATACTT